GGGTCCTTGCGCTATGCGCGCCGACTCGGCCACTGCGTCGCTGATGGCCCTGTGCACACCAGGCGAGTGGTACGGTTGGGAAAAGGCAGTACGCGAGGGGAAAGCAATTAGAAAGCACTTGAGGGGAATGTAGAGAAGGAATGAGGTAGCACGTGAGGGGAGTGTAGGGTAGGAATGAGGTAGCACGTGAGGGGAGAGAAGGGAAGAAATGACGTAGCACGTGAGGGGGAGTGGAAGAAAGTACTAAGTCTAGATAGTCGGCTCTGTGTATGTGTGTGTGAGTGTGTATGTGTGAGAAGGGACTCTCGCCTGCTCAGTGCCCATGTTGAGATTTTTGGTGTGTGTGTGTGTGTGCGAGTGTGGGCAATATGGTTGTTAGTGTGCGTACGAGGGTGTGTCTGGATGTGTATTGGTGTGTGTGCGAGCTATGTAGTTCTTTGTGTGTCCTGAGAGGTCTGACTGTGTGTCATGTGAGTTTTGTGTTCTGACGTGTTGGCATGTGGGTCTCTGATTTGTGTGTGTTGATGTGTGCTGGCATGAGGTTGTGTTTGTAGTTGTGTTGGCATATGAGTGAGTATGAGTGCGTATTAGTGTGTGTGTGTGTGTGTGTGTGTGTGTGTGCGAGAGGGAGTGTTGGTGTGTGCGTGTTATGGTATGTGTGTTGTGTGAATTTAGTATGCGGCTGTGAGATTGTGTGTGTTGGCATGGGTGTGAGTATGTGTGAGGCTGTGTATGCATGTGAGGTTGTGTGTCGGTGTTGGTGTGTAGTGTTGGTGTGTGTTGGCATGTAGATGTGTGAGGTTGTTTGTGTTGGCATGTGCGCGAGGGAGTGTGCGTGTGAAGTTGTGCGTGTTGGTGCGCCGGCATGAAAGTGAGTGTGCGTGTTAGGCTGCGCGTGCATGTGAGGGAGTGTGTGGGGGTGTTGGCATGTGAGTGTGTGTTCATGTGAGTTATCATGTTGTGTGTGTTAGCCCGTGAGCGAGTAGGTGTGCGTGTGAGTGTGTGTATGTGTTGATGTAAGTTAACGTGTGGTTGTGTATGTTATCATGTGGATGAGTGAGGCTGTTTGTGCATGTGAGGACGTGTGTGTGAGGCTGTGCGTGCGTGCGTGTGTGTGTATCTGTTGAGGAGAGTTAGCATGTGGTTGTGTGTGCAGGTGTGTGTTGGCATGTGAATGTGTGACGTTGTTTATGTTGGCATGAGAGTGAGCGTGCGTGTGAGGCTGTGTGTGCTGAGTTGTGCGTGTTGGTGCGACGACATGAAAGTGAGTGTGCGTGTGTGCATGTGTGTGCATGTGGGGGTGTTGGCATGTGTGTGTATGTGTTCATGTGAGTTGCCACGTTGTGTGTGTCGGCATGCGCGCGAGGGCGTGTACGTGAAAGTGAGTGTGCTTGTGTGCATGTGGGGGTGTTGGCATGTGTGTTTGTATGTGTTCATGTGAGTTACCACGTTGTGTGTGTCGGCATGCGCGCGAGGGCGTGTTCGTGAAAGTGAGTGTGCTTGTGTGCATGTGGGGGTGTTGGCATGTGTGTGTATGTGTTCATGTGAGTTGCCACGTTGTGTGTGTTGGCATGCGCGCGAGGGCGTGTGCGTGTGAAGTTGTGCGTCGACATGAAAGTGAGCGCGCCTGTGAGGGAGTGTGTGGGGGCGTGGCACGCACCTGTGCAGCGCGCGCGTGGCCGGGCGAGCGCCGGCGGCGGCGATCCAGGCGGCCGCGCTGAGCTGGCGCGGGGCCCGCGGGCGCGGCCTCCTGAGCACGCGCGACCCGCTCACGCCGCCGCGTGAGGAGGAGGGGGCCGAGGCCGAGGCGAGGTGGGAAGAAGAGCCAGTGACGACGGAGGGGGCGGTGCGCGCGACGAGAGGTGGCTCGTAGGTGTAAATCCACCGCGCGCACCGAGGTGGATTTCGTCGAGGCTCTTCGTTGGGCAGAGGCACTAGCGCCGTGCGCAAGGCGGGTGGCGGCCAAGTGCACGAGCTTACCTGCGACGGACAAGCACAAGTCGACATTAAAAAAATCTCTTTTTTTTCTTTCTTTTTTCTATTATTTTTTCATTCTTTTCTTTCTTGTCTTTCTTTTTTATTTTTTATGTCTTTTCTCTTTCTCTTTCTTTTTCTTTTTCTTTTTTTATTTTTCTTTCTTTTTTCTCTTTATTTTTTCTTTCTTTTTATTATTTCTTTCTTTTTTCATTCTTTTCGTTTTTCTTTTTTTCTTTCTTTTTTATTTTTATTTATTTTTTATTTTTTATTTATTTTTATTTTTTTATTTTCTCTTTATTTTTGTTTTTCTGTTTTATTTTTTGTTTCCTTTTTTGTCCCTTTTTTTGTCAACTTTTAGGCGCTCGTCTACCTGAGTTTAACAGTTTTACTTACTCGCCTCCACTTACCCACCAGAAAGAAGGTTATGGAATGCTAGGCTAAAAAACATGGAATTTTTGCAGAAAAATTGCTCTTATCACACGACCCTTGTAACGAAAAAGTGGATAAATCCAATTCCTTAATGTAGAAAAATATTCTCAAACAAGTGGTGTAGCCAGGATCGATTTTTTTTGTGGGGCCTCGGAAGCGGAAAATTGAATGACGGCAAAATGTCTGTCTGTCGGTCCGCCCGCGTGTGAACAACGCTAGCGGCCAAACCGTTCAGCCGATTTTCTCCAAAATTGGTATTCCTCTGATCTGGCTGATGTAGTTACTTGGATTTGAAACCGAAGTTTTAACTTTACGGTCTACTTTACAAGGCGTCCCTGAGACATTTTTCAAAATTTTGAAAAAAAAAATAGTTGAATCTTTTTTTATGAAATTGCAAAAATATTGATTATTGCAAATTCCGACATGGAAGAAATCCCCTCCGGTTGAAGAATACCCGCTAAACGACGTATAGGTCACCGCTGGATTTTGACATCTAGTGGAAGTAGATCACCGCCCCCTCTCGCGATAGTAACAACCACCACGTTGCCGACTTTCGCAGCTGACGCGCCCTGAATCACTAATGAATGAATGAATGAATCAATCAATCAATCAACTGGTGCCAGCGCAATGCCTACCGTGGGGAGGGTGTCGTCGTCGTCGTTGGTGTCCATTGGTTCGTCGCCTTCGCTGTGCGACAGGAGGTGGAGGCCGCAGTCGTTGATGTCCATTGCGTTGACGGCGGCCACCATTGCGTTGACGGCGTCGGCCGCAGGCAGCAAGTTGACCGCTGCGGCGTCAGGATCGTCAACCACGCCTGCCGTGAGCGGAAAAACTATAACGTTTTAATAACGGCTTAATAAAAAACTATGAAACTTTTTCGAAAAACTTTAAATCAACTTTAAAGGTTAATAACTACTTTTGAGACATAAGACAATGCGTTTTAATCACAGGTGCCAAAGTTTCGGCCGCCATTTTGTGTCCGAATCGCATTTCGCCCTGAGGAAGGACGAAACTTTGCCACTTGTGCCTAGTTCGCGAAAAGACGAAATGATCAATGAATGAATCAAGAATTTGCGAGTCGTTTGAGCAAGATCAATCGCATGTGACGGAAGAGATGCTTCAAGGCATCAATTAATGTCAGTTTAATTCCTCTGACCGGGAGGTCCTAAGTTCGAGCCTCGCGGCTGCTGGATTTTCGACACTAGCGTGTCAGGTAGGTCGAATTCAGCCGCTGTCTGGATGAGAATTCTACTGGCCGGCTGCTCTGATCGGTAGTTTTCCGTGGTTTCCCCAATCAACACCGGGCGAATGCCGGAGCAGTACCCTAACAAATGAGTCACGGACCGAGCGCGATCTTTGCTACCCCTTCCTTGTCCTATGTCATCAACTCGTACACACACATTTACACTTACATGCACAACATTACGACGGTACCCCGCTGGTGAGTGTTACCTTTTTTGAAGAACAAACACGCTAGTGGACAGTAGATCGGCGCTGGATATTGCCTTCCATCTGGAGACGATCAACACCACCTCTCGACCAAAACATGCACTACACTTACGGGAGGAGCGACCATAGTAATGGACGCGACCGGAATCACTAGCAATCAAACAATCAACGCGATGCAGGGTTGAGTGGCCGCCATCTTACCTGCCATCGCAAAGGGGTCCACGTCGTTGGACGCGTCCGTCGTGCCGATGTTGCTGGACGAGTTGCAGGCGCCCACCGATTCGGCGGAGCGCCCCGCGGCGGCGGCGGCGTGGAACTGCTGCACTTGGTGCGTCGCCTCCACGCCGCCGCGGGCGTCGTCCACGTCGGAATCGACGCCGGCGCCGATCTCGACGTCCGAGTCTTGTGTGTCCATGGCCGCGGCGGCGTCGTCCGCCTCCGAGTCGGTGGCGTCGATGTCTTCCCGAATGTCCACCTCCTCGCTGCTGACGACGCTCGACACGTCGCTTCGTCGGTCGCTGGCGGTGCTGCTGGTGGTGGTGGTGGTGGCGGTTGAGTGGTCGCTGCGGGCGTTGGTGTCGCCGTCGCTGCGCGATGCTCTAGAGGATGCGTCGGACCAGCTGCGCGCGCTGCGCGTCGAGCGACGGCTGCGCGACAAACTGCTGGACGCCCCGGAGCTCCCCTCGTCCTCCGGTTCGTCGTCGCGTCGCCCGCTCACCATGGCGACCGGGTTGGCCGCGCCGGCGCTGCTGCTGGAGTACTCGGCGTCCGGCTGGATGAGGGTGAGGTGACCGTCGCCGTTGGTGAACCCGCGAGGGCTGGACGCCGCCTCCGAGTCGCTGCTCCGCGGATCCTCGGCGAGTTGTGTCATCTTCTGGTCGAAGATCGTGAACCCGACGGCGGAGTCTGCGTCTGGGTCGCGCTGGCTGCTGCCGGGGTTGACGGGGAGCACGACGTCGCGTCCGTTGACGCGAAACGCGCTCACTCGCTCGCCCTGGCTCCGCGAGCACGACGGCGCTGGCGGGTCGTCGGGTTGGTACACGGGCATGTCTGGTTCCTCTTCTGTGTCACTTTGGGTTGCTTGGCAGCCCGTGGGCTGCGGGTAGGCCGTTGTGGAGTAGTTTGTGGGTTGCTCTTCCGCGCTCTCGTCGTCGCTGGCGTAGTTCTCTTCCGGGGCGTTGCTCGCCTCTTCTCCAACCGGGTTCGCTGCTTCCGGCACGACTCCGGGGGCGCTCGCCACGTTAGGGTTGTCGTCCCGCTCGTCGCCCCCGTCGTCCGACCCTTCGTCGCTGGAAATCTGCTCGTAGGCCACTTCGTAGGCGGCGTGTGCGTTGGATTTGGTGGACAGATCGACCGGGCGGTCGTTGGACGAGCTCTCGCCCGACGTGGAAGGCTGGTTGGTGAAGGGAGGCACCGTGGGGTAGGACGGATGAGCGGGGTAGGACGAGCCGCTTGCGAACGGCGGCTGGGGGAATGACGACGGCGCCCCGGTGAAAACAGACGACAGCGTCTCGCCGAACAGCGAGAACGGGTAGAGAGGCGGTTGGCCGGTCGGTGGGATGGCGGACGACGCGTCGAAGAACGGGGCGGCGCCGGGAAGGGCCGTCCCGGCTCCGCCCTCGTCCTCGTCCTCGTCGTCGTCGTCGTCATCGTCGTCGTCGTCGTCGTCGCCGCCGCCATCTTGTGCCTCGTCAGGCAGCTCCTCCCCGTCGCGTAGTTCGATTACCCCCTCCGCTAGACGGTACCGCACCGACGCCTGGTTCACGAAGTGCCACCGCCGAAGGATGCGCAGCAGCAACTTCGAGGCGAGGAAAAAGAAATACATTTTGGTTTATAATTCGCTTGTCGTTGACGACATTCCAAAACAATATTCACGTAATAAGTCCTTAAATCCTAATAGAGAACGTGTTACTTACAATGGTTGCTGATATTTCTAGTTATTCAAGTTATTTACAACATTTATCACTTTGTTGTGTTAAGAATAGTCATTACTATTGATGTTTTGTGGCAAGAGGTGTTGGTAATGTTGAAAATTAAGTTGTCCAGGGTCTTGGTACCGTTTGTAAATACCAATTGCAGTGCGCGGGAGGGTCGAAAGGACAAAGGGGGACACGAGGGACAAAGCGGGGAAAGGAGGACAAATGGGACAAGGGAACAAATGTGCCATTGGACGCAGGGACAAATGGAACAAGGGAAAAATATGAGCCAAGGGGGCAAATGAGTGTATGAGAAAAAAATTAAGCAAGGGAACAAAATGGGACAATGATGCAGAATGAGGCAAGGGGACCAAAAGAGAAAAGTGAGCAAAACGGATTCCCCATTCCAGTTTTTTTAATCGCGTACAAACACCGTGAAATTTACAATTTACAATTTTACGGTGTTTTTTTGTCGAGACAATGTAATGTGTAGATTCCGCTTTTTCAAAATGATCTGTGTCATGGGGGACCAGGTTAAATTATCCGTTAATCCTCTATTAGTAATATATTGGTCCATAGCTGAATGTTTTAATATTTTTATTCGTTTGGATATCATGTAACTGAATTTTTAGGCAAAGCTATCAAAAGTTGCTGTAGCATGGCAAAAACATTGTTAACGAAGTAAACAATTCTAATTATTTTAAAATAAACAAATCAAATTTTATCGTATGAGAAGAGAAAGAGCAAAGCACAATATATTCCCTGTAGAATGCAACAGGGCACAACTCACAAAATACGAATTTTCAGTTAATGCACTCTCTAGAGTTGCAGATTGGTCTACCTTCCAGCAGCAACACCAGCATATCCTACAGTACAGAATTCCACCAGCAAATGGCAGAAGTATGAATGCATGAATGGAACATATTAGCTCAAGGTGAAATTCAAAGTTATTGATCTTAACACCTGATTTTTAAGCTGTACCATTATTGCAGTCCACAAACGAAATATATATATGGATGTAGGTATGTACCAGATCGATTAATTCAGTCATTGTTTGAGCGACCTCCATGAAAGTTGGCATACCAACGTGTTTTTCGTGGAGAAGGTTTTTATGGTGTTAATTTTGTTGTAACTCTACTAGTTGGCGCTGCAGCACAAGATAGCACTCCAGTTAAACGCAGTTGCCAATTCCCCTGGGCTTCATTGTTGCTGGGCGTTGCCGTGTGTTGTAGGGCAAGGCCGAGGAGGACAGTTCGCGCGCCGTGAGAGAGAGAGAGAGAGTCAAACAGAGAGAAATAGGTAGAGAGAAGCAGAGAAACAGAGACACGGAGAAGCAGAGAGAAAGAAAAACATAGGCAGAGATATAGATGCAGAGATAGAGGCTGCGAGAGATGGAGAGACAGGGGGTGGGAGAGGGAGATTGAGAGGGGGAATGGAAGGTAGAGAGGGGGAGAGGGGAGAGGGTTGAGGGGAGAGGGGAGAGAGAGATGGGGGAGGGGAGACGGGTAGGGGGAGAAAGGGAGAGGGGGAGGGGAGTGGGGTGAGGGGAGAGGGGAGGGGGAAGGGGTAAGAGGGGAGGGGGGAGACGGGGAGATGGGGTTAGGGGAGAGGGGAAGAGGGAGAGAGACAGTAGGGCAAAGTCTGCTGGGTTCTGCTAGAGGCAAATATAAGAAACATCCACCGTCGGCGTCACCACGTGTCTCCGAACGCCAAGCTGCAACAAGTTTGGTCCAAACGCGTGCGAGCGGCCAGCAAGCCGGCTCACCTTCCGTCTCTCTCGGGGTCGCTCTGGTAGACCTGGAAGAAGGTCTGGAAGAGCAGCCTGTCACCGCGGTGGTGAGGGGTCCAGGCCCCGGGCCGAGGCCTGCGCCGAGGCCTAAGGCCGAACGACGCCGAAGCCGGCGGTTGAAGTCCGGGCTGAAGGGGAATCCCCGGGGGCGGGGGCGGGGGCGGCGGCGGAGGCGACGGCGGCGGGGGCGGAGCGGGGGCGGCGCAGGTTCGTCCGGGTTGGGCGGCGCGAACCAGCTCGCGCTGGGCGACGTGCCTGCGCATGAGAACGACATCGTTCACGAGAAGGCGGTGACCCGCAAGGGCCAAAAATTGGACAAATGAAGAAAAAAATATAGAATTGCGAAATCTTGCGAGCGCCAAATTATGTTTTTTAAGTACAATCTCGTTCGTTCCGAAATGTGTTTTTTTGGCACAATCTAGCTAACGCAAAGATACGGTTTGAGAAACAAACTGGTTCTTGCCAAAATAAGACTTTTGGCACAATATAGATAGCGAGGTAATACGGTTTGATAAACAATCTCGTTCTGGCCAAAATATGATTTTTGGCACAATATAGCTTGCGCAAAGATACGGTTTAGGGCACATTGTCGTTCTTGACAAAATAAGATTTTTGGCACAATCTAGCTAGCGCGGTAATACGGTTTGATAAACAATCTCGTTCTTGCCAAAATGAGATTTTTGGCACAATCTGGCTTGCGCAAAGATACGGTTTAGGTCACATTGTCGTACTTGACAAAATACAATTTTTGCATCATCTCGCTAGTACAAAAATACAGTTTAGGAAAAAATGTCGTTTATGTCAAAGTTTGGTTTGAGACACAAACTAACTGGCGCAAAGGTATAATTTGAGGCACAATCTCGTTCTTGCCAAAATACAGTTTGGAGCACTACCTAGCTAGCGCAAAAATATGGTTTGGGGAACAATCTGTCTAGAGCTAAGTACGGATATTGCCAAAATATAGTTTGAAACAGAAACTTGTATTTGGCAAAATCTCACCAGTATATAAATACTTTTGTTACGTGAAAACTATGTTGATGTCAGAAGGTATTGAAAACTATCACCAATATGTGTTAAAATTTCATTTTTGCAAACTCCTGCTAGTATCTAAAGCCGAACTTCACGAGAGCTGGTATGTAACAAAGTTCTATTACTACAAAACAAGTTAGTGCTAAAATCTCGGTTTTAGTAAGATTCTGTTAATGCTGAAATCCTAATGATGAAATTTTCGTTTATTCTTAAAATGTAGTGATGAATTACTATTTCATTTATTTCAAATATATGTAATAATAAATGTATATTACATTTATGAAAAAATTAAGTTGTTTTTTCTTACACACATGTTTAATCATATCGTTGATTTTAATCACAATTCTTTCATCTTTCAAATTTTATGCCTTGGATTATTGCTCATTAATTTCGCTACAGAGTTACAGAATACGATTTTGATCACTCCACATAACAGTAATAAAGGCAGAAAGAAAAGTAAAATTTACCTTTATTATTTTTATTATTATTACTCAAGATAATAAACATCTATTACAAATTGGAAGCAAAAATCTTAATCAGATATCTACATTGTGCTAGATGAAAAACCATCAATTTGAAAATGGAGAAAAAATTGCAGAAACTGGAATCATGCTTGGAAACTCTGCATGCGATTTAATGCAAGCCACATCCAGCCCGATAATGAACAATAGCGCTAAAAACCTCAGTACTCTCTACATGCCGGGTATTTTCTAACCTAACTAGCCAGGCACTGCTTAGAGAAATTTCAAATCGTAAATTAAAAGCAATATTTTCTATTGTGCTTTATTTCAAAGAGATGCAGGATTTTTTATTGGCATAACTGTAAATGTCTTTCACCAATTTTACAACACCAAATTCATTCTCATGGACACTATTAAATTATGTAAGTTCATCTTCGATGCCCTAAAGGTTTTACTCACCTCTTCCGTTAGCTCAAACCGACGATCCTCCGAGACGGGGTTTGAGAATAATTGCCTATATTGAAAGCATAAATTCTCGATTAGGTTGTGCTAAGTACACTATGGCAAATTTGGTATGATTTAGCCCATCCCGTTGTTTAACGTGCGTTTAAATGTTTGTAGAAATGTTGCATGTGAGTAGTAAAAATCAAAGTTATGTCGACTACAGGCCATATTAAATGTGTATAACAAACACTATCTTGTTTCGTTATCCAATAACACTAATTGTTCTACTTTTATTATCTCTTAATACTATTAAAGTAGTAAAAATGAGAATGAACTTAACTCCATTTCTCATTTCTCAACTTTTGCTGTCCTTTCTTTAACACTTGGCACCGGTTCAAATCTGGATATTCCATTAAATTCAGTTTTATTTGTATAAGAATAATTAGATACGTTGGTTTGTTATGCAAACATTTTCATCGATATAATTATTTCATTTACAGATTTTTATTTTTCACATATTAGTACAGACGTTAGAATAAAATTGTGGAAGACAATAGTTCATATCTATCCCACTCTCCATTTCACGAAAAGTGTTCCCTGTGCAAAATCTAAAATTAATATTCTAATTACTTATCCAAGAACATTCTAACATTTATTAAAACTATTTTGCCAAATAGCTGAAACAAGTCTCATAATAGAATCTTCGTTCACATACACCAACTATTCGTAGTGATGTAAGGTAATGAATTAAGAACATTCAAACAAAATATGTAACATTTATTATTCTTGAATTCATTCGAATTAGACAATTTCACAAATTGAAATGGATGTATGCTAATGAGATAATAAGTATGAAGATAACAAAATAAATAGAGAATTAAAATAAATAGAAAATATCTTCCATAAAGCCGTTATGTAATTCTTAAACTATTGCAAAATGATTAGAACTTGCTCATTCTCCAACTTCATGAGCGTGAACGAAGAACACTATCGTTGAAATTCATAAACAATGTTGGCATCAATATCTTAACAATACAAAATGCTACAAACAATTCCTAGAGTTTTCTTGAAGAACTAAACATGAAATTTTCGATTAAAGGCACACGTTCACAAATTTAGATAATACACACACACACAGAACACTAAATAAATGTGAAATCGCTCTAACAATTTTATTTTCACAAAAAATGAAGAGAAATACATTTGTTGAGCAAGTCTTAATTATCCGACATATTCTGTTTTTGAGAGACTGAACTTTACATTATTAGTATATTATTTTTGTTATTTTTATTACTATTTTCACTATTGAGAAATCTTTTTTTTACAGCATACAATTTAGTGAATTTAATTTTAATAAATGTATTGGGAAATCATTTATATTTTTGAGATACAAACTCATATTACAATTAAATCGATGATTTGGAAAGGGAAAGTCTTTATTCCACAGTTTTCAGAAAAACAATTAATAATATCAAGAGTTAGCATCTGGGACAGTTATGTTCTATACAAAAATTGTAGAACGCCATTATTGATTGCTTGGGGTTATTTTCACATTTGCATTTCTGTAATGTACCGAACGGTTCTTAAAGCCTGAATTTAATTCCTTTATAAAATAATTATAAAGTATTTGAAAATATTTCATAAATAAAATTACTCATTTCCTATCAAATCAATACCCTCCTCACTTCGCGAGTCGGATATTTATCGACAATTTCCAAACCACTCGTGGAATTACCTACGATAATTATGCATTGCTTCACGTCTTGAAGTTAAGGTGGATAGAAGAATTCTCTTCTTTAGCAAAGAGCAACATTCCTGTATAGGACTCGGTATATAAATCAATAAAATTACTCATTTCCTAGCTGATAATACTGGTTCGTCTGAGGGAGAATCAGTATTATCAACTCACACACTACTAGTAACTTATTAATTAATCATGCAATGAAACCAATTATGTTTCAGTGTCCTTTAGGAGAAATATAAGAGAAACTAGTCCTGGATTTATTTATCTTTTCCAATATCTAGAAATTTTAGTTGGCAATATAAGACATCCTTCAAGTTGGACAGGCTTCATTTTCACACAGATTAATAGCTTGAAGAATAACAAAGAAATTGTAGATTTCAACTAATTTTCGAGAAAAGTGAATTTATTTGCCTTTTAAAATCACGATATATGCTATGTACAGACTGAGTAGTTTCCGGGGAATATAAAACGTGTCCTGCGTAATTAGTTGAACCAATGTTTTGCATAATTTTTTCCGAGGAAAGTTTCATTACTGCACAAAAAATTACCATCGAATTCTATTGTGATAACTAGCAGACGTTTCTGTTACTGCTGGTGAAAATTATGGGTTCTTAAGGGGAGAGGGTACTGTGTATACCTTACATGTTAAATTTGCTTCTGTTGATGAACCTTTACTAGAAAATGGATAACCAGAAAACGTTGAGAGTTGATAAAACCTTTATTATTATTTTTACATTTTTTGAATCGATTAAGAAATAATTAGTATTTTCTAATTATAACTTTTGTCCTAACTTTTTCAGAATTTTGGACAAACATTTTTTTTCTTTTTATTATTGAAAAATGTTAATATAAAATTTTCAATTTATTGTCAATACTAAAAAAAGGTATCCTGTACATTTCAATAAATTGTGCATAACAGTTTTTGAGAAAAAGTACATTAAGTACAAAATAAGTACATTTTCGGAAAACGCCATTTAAAAAAAGTTTGTACTTGCCGCTGCTCTACACGAATTTTCCTGCTTCGTAATCTGGATCATATTCATTAGCGGAAAAGACTAATGTTAACGACGTATGATCGAGAGAATGTTTCATTAACAACCCTACATGCGTTCAAAATTACGAAAAACTGTACATGCACTGCTCGTACTTGTATGCAGTGTAAAAAAAGGGGGAGTGGCTCTTGCGCACTAGAACATTCAAATAACAATTAAAAGGACTTCCAGGCGTGGTGGAAGAAAAATGATATATTTTGAAAGAGCCAGATTTCATTTATTTATTTAGACTAAAGTCGATAATTTGGCCCATTTTAAGATACTCTCTCTCCTTAAATATTGCTGAGTGTACTTGAAGAGAAGAAAGTATACTTAAACTTTTTAAAAAACCTCGTTTACGTTTTCATCCAGTTTCAGTTGGTCCATAGAGCAAATGCTGAGATGGTCTCTTGTTTTGCTTCTGGACATGAAAGTACACCGGATGGCACCATCCAGTGTCAAAGAAACACTGCTACTTTCAGGCATTCAAATTCATTGCAGTAACTAAACTGTGGACTTTTATTAGTTCTGTGCCGTGTTTATTAGAATTTATT